TGAAACAGCTGAAATCTTGGCTGATCCTGTCCTATCTTGTAGTCTCTCATCCAAGTAAGTTTTTTTGTAAACCCAGATACAGGTAGTCCTCATTTAACGACTACAATTGGGACCAGCAACTCTATCATTAAGTGAGGTGGTAGTTAAGTGAAACCACAACTGTGCTTATGATCTTACTTCAGCTTTCCTTGGCTTTACAGACCTGCAAAAGTCATAAATGTGAGGATTGGTTGTAAAGTTACTTTTTCATCACCGTTGTAACTGTGAACGGTCATTAAACAAGGCAGTCGCTAAATGAGGATTACCTGTATGTTGAAAATACAACTCCCAGAATTCTCTTCTACAACACTGGCTGGAAATTCTGGGAACTGCAGCCCCAACCCCTTATGAGGATATCAGCTTTGGAAAGCTGAGTTAATTTCTCTTTGCTGATTTAAAGTCCATCTTTTCCGTGGAGCCCAATAGTCTTTCTGGCCATGAATGTTAAAACTATGACTCATAATCTATCCTCTGCAATTGGACTTCGAAGGAAAGAATTAGTCAGAAAACATTACATAAAAAATAAGGTTGAGAAATTTAAAACCATAGAAAGATCTGAGTGAATAAACTGCTTCCTCCAGTGGTCTACATATAGAATCTGTTCCTTTTCCCTTAGGAAACAGAAGAAGTTGCTCATTTCCTGCAAACAAGAAAAAAACGGTGACTTCATTCATAGAAATAGTTCCTGGCATACCTGCCAGGTTTGTCCATATACTGGGAATTAATATGGTGACCAGCCTCACAAATGGGGGCCGAGGATATTTATTCTAAAGCATTTTACACCTGGGATTATACATCTGCTCAATAATAATGATTCTAGAATTGCAAGCAAAGAACTGATTCATAGATTAACGTTTTTCGTGAATCGCATATTCTCTGATGCAACCAACTCCATATTGAAGTAATTAGCCACCCAAGGAAGGGCCCTATTTCCTAATTTGACAAGATATATATGTAGTAAAGTAATAAGTATTAGATTAAGAATAGCAACAAAGTGCACAGTCCAGTATCTAATCAAAGTTAAGCACTTTAAAAGCCCAAGACTAATTAATTCCTGGTGTTTGCAGTATATGCAGAATTGCCCTCTGTCCTTTTCCAACTGAAATCACTGAGAGAGTTAATTATACACTTCATTCTGTCTAAATTGAAATTGGTAGAATTAAAAAATGCTTGATTTTGGCTGGATTATGCAAACATTCCATTTTTTTCCTATTAAGCAAGTGGAAAGAGTGATTTCTGTGGGACTGTTTGTTTTACAGTTTGTATGTCACCTTTCTTTATGGTGTGGTATCTAACACACATCCTAAAGGTACTCAGAAGTGCTAAATCTGAATGCTTAAAATTAATGTCTGGATTTTAGGCATTTTAACAGATGATTGCCACATTTCACAGTACCTTATATATGTGAAAATCTGTAATACAGTCATGGGATGGAAGACAAGGGGTTAATGCCCTGCTGCAGGTTTTCTTCTCCAGAACTAGGGGTAGGTGAGGCTGTGATGTGTTTGCTCTCCAGGATTCATCTGTCACTTAGTATTAGAAAAGCATGAAACGTATTTCATCAGCTCTGGGATTTTCCAGACAAATCCAGATTGAAATGCACCCAAGATTAATCCAGGCTGTTTTGATAATGTTCTGGTCTATTTGAACATCAGAATGCTACAAGCACAACCATATTTAAAAGTCTGCAAGTCTAAAGCTTGAAGACAACTACCAACCAATCAGCAGTTGCTTCTACTGGCCCAAAACCAAAAATGAAGATGAAGAACTGTCAGCCAATCACTGTTTGGTTGCCAACCAGTCCCTGAATGTCTTGTTCTACCCCCTCAGAGCTGTGCCTAAACACACATCCAGTCCCCCTCTTCGTAAAAATAAAAGAAAATAAACTGCTAGCATTCTTGCATGTTTCTGTGCTCAGCATAGTGGCAAACCTCCATTGCATTTGAAATTTCTTATTCTGCTGTGCTGGAAGTTTTGAATTTGGGCTCCTTTATATAACACCAGCATGGCATCTCAGAACCTGGGGCATGTGGAGAGAATTCCCTCCAGCAAAATCTCAGAGCACCCTATCAAGTACAAAGTAGTGACGTCTTGCCATTTCTGAAGTTGTATTCTGCCTTGGAACCACGTTTCCTTTTCACCGACCCAGGGACAGATCAAAATTGTTTCTAATCCATGCCGCCGCTTACAGCATTTCTTGAGC